CCCCACGCCTCGGCCGGGAGCGGGCAGCGGGCGCTCCCCGCCTGCGCCCAAGCAGCCCTGGCTGTATCAGGCTTTGGAGGAGAGAGTGCTGCCCACGCAGGGAAGGCCCTGTTTTCCATTGCCTTTATCACTGCTCCTTGTTAAAGCGGTTTGCTCGAGCCGCCAGGGTCGAGGAGCGAGCTGTGGGATTTCTTTTGTAGGCTCATGTTTCTAACTGCTCACAGACGTACAGCAGAGCTATTTTTATTATATAAATCATCAGAGAGAGAATACCTCATAGTCCCCACTGAAGCAAATTCCTGAGGAAGAGAGTTCTATTTTTATAGAAAATTTCTACTCACACAGTATTTTTTGTTGTTGTTTTTAAGCTAAGGAACAAGTCACTGGAAGCAGTAGTTTCCTCAGCGCCGTCTCCGAGCCTGGGGGCAGCGCTTCCCTGCTTTCTAGGGCAGGACGCTCACACGCTTGCTTCACATCCCATCTTTTGAGCTCTCGAGGATAAAATCATAAAGTAAAGGCTGGGAGATCACATTACATTGCAAACTCACTCTACGCTGCTTATTTTAGAACAGTCTCATCCTTCTCCAAGTTGTTAAAATAACTGTGTGCAAAGGCATTTGCTCTTTAATTCCCAGTAATTCAAGAAGTCACAGTTTTAAGCATTTCTTTCCTGTTCACATGGACTCTCACAGAGTAGGAAAAGGTAGGAAGGAATCGGCATCCACAGTTTGATCCCTTCCAACAAGATATTAGTGCAGAACCAGATGTGGTTAAACACACTTTTGTAACTAAATCAGCCAGGCTTTTTCACTGAGCTCCAGGATCCTGCTACATTTTACTGCTGCAATTTTCCCCAAAAGTTTTTCCAAAGCATTTAAACATGACTGTTCAATGAAAAGCTTTCAAGTTGCTAAGTCAATGACCCCAAAAAACCCAAAAAACTCCTTAATGACTTTGGAGAAACAAAATCAACAGCAACAAAAGCAGCTTCTGAGCAGCATAGGAGCCGTTGCAGAGGTGATTTGGGGATCGCAAATTCAAAATCGTCGTCTGCAAAACCAATGCCCAGGTCTACTTCAGGGCTCATCAGGTTCAAAAGCGCAAGACTGTTTTTAATAAGAGACTCCTTTCGCTATCATCCTGCCACATCACTGCAGACTGTTACGTTTCTTTTTTTCCATCTCATTAAGCTGATGTGTAAAATACTGTATCACAGAGTAGACCTGAGTCTGGTGGGTTAAAGGGGTGATTTGTACCCTAAAGCACTGCAGTGCTGTATGTACAAAATATATAAAATTACTGAATATTTCTAGCTCTTGGGAACTCTGCTTTCATCTGTTGAGACTCTTTCTTCCTCTCTCCCGTTGCCGCGAGTTTACGCTGCAGGATCCAGCTTTCCCTGGGACATGATCTCAGCAGAGGAGGCGGCTGCAAATCCAGGAAATGCAACTGAGAGAAATGAGCCAAGTCCTCGCTGCATTCCGATTTCCTGCTCATTCCGAATCTCTTTCCGGCATGTGAACGGAGAGGGAGACAGCTGCGCTGCTGAGCACCCTGCTCTCCGCCCTCCAGAGTGGCCCCTGGAAGCCAAACCTGTCCCTGCCATGATCCCAGCCAGCCTCATGGTCCCAGTCTGCAGCCGCTGCCAACATCTGGCTCGTAAAACTTGTCTTGGCTGCTGGAGGTTTGCAGCCGGGCGCTGGGCTGAGGGAAGCTGTAATCAGAGTTTTGACGGGGCAGCCATCCTTGCTGAGCAGTGGTGGTGAGAACTCCCACTCAAATAAACCATCTAGAGGCTTCACAGACACATGCTCCAGTGACTGCCAAGCAAACTGCTGTCAGAGAAAGGGGAAAACACCTTTATCAAGGGACATCTCGGGAGGCAGCACTCCAACTGCTGCCTTTTCCCATAAAAGTTACAAATCCAGGAAGCTCTGGCCGGAGAAGCTCATGCAGGTGGTGCAGACGGGGCTCGGAAAGGCAGGGGCCGCGCAGCAAGGGCCAGCTCGGTGGCCGCGGCCCACCAGCCGGCTCCACGGGGCCACCACGTTCCCTGTCCTCCCTTCCCTGGCACCTCCACAGCAGCCACAAGCCACGCAGGACCTCAGCCCGCAGCATCTCTTACTGCCAGCTCCTGGCTGCCACTTAACGACAGGGTCATTTAGGAGGGCTGGAGCAATTCTTCCCCAGGAACCGCTTGTGCGCTGAAAGCTCTTTGTGTGCCTTCTGTAAACAGCTTTGAGGAACAAGAGCTATTTCAAGGGGCAAATTCAAAGCACTTTCGCAGTCAGGCAAGCCCTGGGGCTGCAGGCCACTGCAGTGGTGTTGGGGCAACCGTGCTGCTTCCCAGAGCGCTGCTGGCATTTCCAAGGAATGAACCATGCAGGACACACTCTTCAATACCAGTGGGAAGAGTTTCTACAGCCCGTCAAATACTACTGCTGTTTTCTCTCTTTTTCTCTATTTATTTATTTAATAATTGGCTGATTTCATGAGTTGTGGTAATCCATGTTCAGTTTGGGTAGAATGAGGTCAAGGAGCTTCTGGAAAGTGCTTCCAGCCTCTGCCCACAGGAATATTTTTTGGAGAAGCGCCTGCAATGCAGAATCCTCCCAACTAGCAATTTCTCCTTTTCCCAATCCACATACACAGACCTGGAGATGCCCAGGATGCACAGGATCATTGGCCCGGGGGATGGCTAACAACACCCCCCACAGCCGCCTCAGCTGCCGCGGGGCTGTGGGTGGATGAGCACCAAGCCCCACTCACCTCCCTAACATCTAGTAACACCTGTAGGGTGCCTGTGAACACGCCGATGTCTGTGCGCTTAAACGTGGTCCTAGGAGGAGCATTTCCAAGAAGCCCTAAAATATTCCAGAGCGCACTGGACGCTGCAGAGTCTCTTGCACCAGAAATAGCGGAATGACTCATTTCCTCTGCAGCTCTGCTCCAGCGCTCCACTCGCGCAGGAAGCTGGAGCTCTACCACGGCCAGGCCAGCAGGAAGCAGCAATCCCCAAAGCAGTTCTCAGCAGGCAGAAACCCACCTGAAGGGCCTAAATCCTGACCACTATTTGTTTCGAAAAAAGCTATCCTGGACTAGCACCTGGGATTGCACATGAGAGGGATCATGCACAGTTCTTGAGAACTCCCTCCCAAAACAAAAAACGCTGTAATTGCAGCATCTTAATCCTGCACAGAGCAAAATATCGTACCCAAGAGCTGAGAGGCTCTCTCTCCACTGCTCCCTGCTGCGGCAAGGCTAGTAGCTTTGCAGGCCAACACAGCTCTAAGTTTCTCTTCTCCTCTGCTTGAAACAGGCAAGCAACGCTCTGAAACACAAGTGGGGAAGTGGTCGGTCTTGCCCGATTTGGCTGCATTTCCTCCAGTTTTCTGCAGCCAGGCTTCACAGCGGGTCAGGAAGGCCCCTCCACTCTCTAGGCTGGCAACTTGGCACAGGGTAATTCACCTGCTTTAACCTCATGGTTGGTGACCTTCGCAGCATAACCCCTCCTTACCTCACCCTTATCACACCCAGCTTATCACCAGGGCTCTTTGCAGCAGGGACAGGAGCCTATGGAGCAGTCCGAGTATTCGGACAGCACCAACAAACCATTACAGCACCCAGCATCGCCCAAAGACCTGGTTATTCTGAGTGCATGTTTTGTCCTGGTTTTAGGAAAAGAAATCCCAGCAAACTCAAGTTACAGGCCTGTGTATATAGGAATTTTGCAGGACTGAGCAGCCAGCTATTTTCTGGATCAGTTTTCTTGTCCTTTAAGGAGAGAAAAATAAAGCTTTCTTAACACAGGAGACTTAGACACAACATTTGATGCATCTGTTTCTGTAAAGCGCCCCGAGAGCTTTGTGCGCAAATCATTACTTGAACACCAGCAGGCTGTCACACAGACGCAGAACACATATTTCACCTCTACAGCTCTTGTGCAGATTTAATGCTATGATGCTTTGAATCTCTTAAAGAGAAGTCGCTAACGTGCCAATTCTCAGTTGCATAGTTAAAAGGGGTTACCATAGGCACGCACACAAGAGCTAGGCACACATGGCATTGGAAAAATCCAAGATGTAACATAGTTTACAGGCAGATCTGAGCACAGTCAGCCCTCTTTGCCCTCGCTTCCTTGAGAGCTGTGCACTACCCAAAACCCTCAAGTGAGTCGGGGCCCGCACTCTGAGGCGCCAGTAGCGCTGAGGATGAATCCATGGGCTTAAGTCCCTTCCCTTGCCCGTACTCCAACAAGCAGCTCCCTGCGCGAGCAGCCAGAGCAGAGCAGCGCTGGCCACTTTCCACCAGCCACTCAAATATCACCAGCGGGAATTTCACCTACTCCGGCAAGATTCAGCAGGCAAACATTTTAAGAGGTGACACAGGAAATAAAACAGCCTAAAGGGTGAGTTTCTTCTGTCTGATTTTTTTTCTGAATCTTACAAAAATCCGATGCCCAAATAGGAGTCCTTTCCCCTCCAGGCAGCTTTAACTCACGTTAGCAGCACTTAATCAGCAATTCACCACTGACCTTGGCTGCATTACAAGGGAGGTATTTCCACAGGGATGGAAAGATTTTAAACAATTTATTCAACAAGTTGGATGCAGACAGGCTTTTCTTTAAGCCAAGCATGCAATTCCTTAAGACTTTTTTTGTTGTTGTTAAGGAAAGGTTTATCATGAAAGGAAAACCCTATGTTTTCCTAATGATTATCTGCTGAAAAAGAAACTCAGGATTCAAAGAGAAGGACTTCAAAGCAGGGAATGAATGGAGACTGGAGGATGGTTACTGCTTTCTGAGGACACCATTAATATGAGATATTTTTATTAAAGGAGACGAGGATCTAAATACTGTTCCTCCACTCTGACTTGGGTAACTGAGTGTTGACACTAAAAAAAATGACATGCTTTAAATCTGTGGAAGTGAGAAGTCCATTAGCTAGCTGGACCTTGCCAGAGCTTTCTAAAATGGTTGCTTCACCTCTGACAGAGATTATGTTCTGCAAGACAAGAGGCAGGCACACAGAGAGAGCTGCAGGCAGTTATTTTCAGCATAGGTTTGATTTAATAACTAAAAGGTAGAGCTCTTGCTGATATTACTCTGTAACAGGGAACACCAGCACAAGCTGCAAGGATATAGGTTTGGTATCTTACCAAAGACTAATAAAGGACAGGTAATGTGCTGGCCCATCTACACAACTCCTGCTGGCTTCAGTGGGAGTTTTTCATATTTAATAAAGTGTAACCAAGGCATTTTGGAATGAAGACGCGTTTGTACATACCATGCTGAAAAGCTCACAGCGATGCTGTGAAACGAAGTCCTAGTTCTTCATCAACACTAGAAAAAGCAGATTTTCTGCAACAACCTGAAATGGAAGCCAGGGAGACGAGAACTGCTGCTTTCTTATCCCAGCTGAATCCAGCCACCAAGCCCAGAGCCACCAGCCGATTGCTCTGCTCCGCATCCCTCTGCGCAGACTTTCTCGTCTCCAGGTTCCTGCTGCTTCCGCAGTCTCCTCCTCCTGGCTGCAGGTAGCATTTAATGAAAAAAGTTAAAGAAAGAATTTAAATCCTGAGGCATGAATGTTTTAAAACAGCTGTTTATTAATACAGTGAAATATTAAAACAAAAACACCAACTTTTTATGGAAACAATAAAAGTGCAAATGTATTTTGATATTAAATAGGAAATGAATTTATAAACGTTTCATTAAAATGGGCTGACACTTTAAGCCTATAAACACTTAAAAAAAATAAAACACAATAGCAGCTGAACACTTTAGTTTAAACTTTAGTCTGATTATTAACCAGCAAGAAATAGTTGTACCAACAATGTTCATTGCCAACAAATGTTTTCAGCTTCCATTACTCTGCAAAGATTCAAAAATCAAAAAAGGAGGAATGTTTTGAGACATTTAGCCAGACAGAAATAAGGATACCTTTGAGAGATACACAGTGTTTTTGAATACAAACAGAAGGCACATATCTATTCATTTTGGTACTGTAAATAAACATCCTATTATAGGTGTGATCCCCCCAACCAGCATTCAATAAAAACATAACTTTGCACAGAGTCTTTGTAAAATTTGCTTGCAATAAAAGAGAACCAAGAACGCACATCAGTGCCAAACAACCTGCTTTCTTGGGTACTTGAGCTTTAACTTCTACCTACAGACAACCATGTTGAACCTATAGCACAGTGCAACACTTGAGGCCTTAACACTGCAAAGACACACTCATAACCTCCCTCTGCACTGCAGCACTGGGATAGGAGAACAGGGGGTTACTCTTGTAGGTCAAGCTCTCAGATAAGGCCCTGAAACAGCCCCGGGACACTACAGGTCACACTACCACTGTTGCAGCTGTCGTGGCCTAAGATCAATATCTTAACAGCCCTCGACTTTCATCAGCTCCTTCTGTCAAGCACTTCCATGAATGCATGTTTTATAGGAGACAGAGAAAATACACGCAATTTTGCAGGTGTAATTTGGTCTA